CGGTTTCGTATGGCTTGAAAAAAAGGTTTGCATCGATCGGATGATCGTGAGATGAAACGACTAAGGGCAACGATTCGCCCAGTTAACACTTGAATATCTCTGGGTGTTACCGGATCTGGCATCTTACACAAGGCTTCGATTTTTGCTGGGTTCGGTTCGATACCTCGTTTGTTCACTATGTGCCCTAAGAATTGCCCAGATGATACACCGAATGCGCATTTTACCGGGTTTAGCCGCATGTGATATCTTCTCAATACGTCAAAAGTGTTACATAGATGATCAATGTGTTGGCACCTTTCTCGGCTTTTGACGACCATATCGTTAATGTAAACTTCCATTGTATTTCCCATTTGATTTTTAAACATCTTGTTCACTAACCTTTGATAAGTCGAGTCGGCATTCTTGAGTCCGAAAGGCATAATGGTGTAACAATACAATCCACGCTCAATGATAAAAGCACTTTTCTCTTGACCTTTAACAGCCATAAGAATTTGGTTATAACCAGAATAAGCATCTAAGAAAGACAAAAGTGCGTACCCAGCCGTAGCATCCACCGTCTGGTCAATCTTTTCGGCATGCTCTGTTCAGGTTGGTATAATCCACACATACGCGCCATTTTCCTTTTTCTTTCTTGCCCACCACTATGACATTCGAAACCCAAGTTGAGCACCAGACATCGCAAATGAATCCAACTTCGAGGAGCCTATCGACTTCTGCACTGATAATCTAATTTCATTCTGGCGCAAATCTCCTCTGCTTTTATCGGTGTTGAGGACAACTTGGATCAACATTTAACTGATGGCATACCAATTTCGAGTCAATTCCTGGCATGTCCATATGAGACCATGCAAAAACATTAGTGTTGCTCCTTAGAAATTTCAGCAACTCTTCGACTTCCGCATCAGATAGGAGGCAGCCCACCCATATTCATTTCTCAGGATCGGTTGGATCTAAAACCTCTTCCTTCAGTGGTTCTATAGTTGGGGGTTCTTGATCGTTGTTTTCCTGATCTTGTTGTGGTGGGTCCTCCGCTAATTGCCATAATGGTTTATTCTCATGAAGGTCCGTACTCTGTTGCACTTCCCTGGTTGTCTTGATGTCTGTTGCCATATTGTAGCATTTTCTGACCTCCAGCTAATCCCCTTTGATGTTGATGGTCGTTTGACCATCCGTCGACAGACACCTTATTGCTTGACATCTGGTTGACGCTTCCCCATCCATTCGATGGATCCAATCCCTTCTCATAATGGCATTATATGCACTCAGTGCATTGATGATGACAAAAGTGACAAAAAGAGTCTTACCTGCTACCGTGACAAGAAGGGTCACATCTCTAATGGGCTGGGCCTTAGTTCTTTTAAACACATAAAGAGGAGTTGGATTTGGCCTTATCTCTTTCTCGTCTAATTTCATTCTTCTAAATGTGCTCCAAAATAGAACGTCTGTGCTGCTTCCCCCCATCTATCATTATCCTTTTTCACTCTTGAATTGGCAACACGTAGCGTCACAACTAATGCGTCATTGTGAAGGAATTGAATTCATTCGAGGTCTTTTTGGCTAAAGGAGATGACTCCGAGATTATCTAATGCTTTATACGCTTCAGGGGCTGATGTTATGTTATGTACGCGTCTGGACTTCTCGGCCTCCCGTCTTTGCGACTGATAATGTGTTTCACGTCCCTCAGGGGGTTGGGGTCCACCATGTATGACATTGATATCCAACAACTTCTCATATGCTCCAATGTTTCCTGTAACTGCTTGAATTCCTTCATCATTCTTGCGTTCATCTCTTGATTCTACGCGGTATTCCCATTCTTCAGCATAGCTTCCACTTGGTTCCTTAGGCTTCGACAATCATTAGTGGCATGACCAAAGTCGTTGTGATGAGTGCACATCTTGTTCCTGTCTCGCTTCTCTAGCGACGTTCAAATTGGGGCCGGTGCACAAAAGATTCCTTTTCCCTTGTTCTCGTGAAATTTTTTGCCCAGGCTCACCGGCAGCTTAGTGTTTGGGCGATTAAGTATATATCTTTCATTAAACCCATCATTCGAATCACGTGAGAATCTTCTTTCTTGCCTTGGTTGAGCCGTGGGTTTCAAGGTAAGCGCGGTAGTGTTCGATGGAGATGCAACAATAGTCGCGGTGGCCCGCTTTGATTGGATAAGTTCATATTCCTCTAGTCTAATGATTCCATTAGCTCGGGCCATCACCTCCCTCATATCCAGTAGTGGTGTCTTGATTAATGACTTACGCATCTTCGTTCTAGGCAACACCCCTTCTCGGAATGCCAAAGTGGCAGTGTGAGAGTCACATTCTTCTAGGGTAAACATATCTTCCGTGAACCTAGTCATGTAGCTCTTGAGGCTCTCGCCTACATTTTGTTTGGTGCAGAACAAGATCATAACATCTTTTCTTGGCCTCCAATTACAGACATATTGAGATATGAACGCTTAACAAAGATCTGTGAAACTTCCGATAAACCTCGATTTCAGTTGTCTGAACCACGTTAAAGATGATCCCGAAAGACTTGAAAGGAACAACTTGCATAGGAGGGCCTCATCGTCTTCTTCAAGCGCCATATGCTGTTGAAAATGGTAAATGTGTTCGACAGGATCAGTCGTGCCTTCAAATAGCCTAAACTTTGGTTGGATGAACTTGTCAGGTTTTTTAGCTTTTAGGATGTCCTCTATGAACAGCGATTTGCGAATTCCTCTGGTCACTTCTAAGGCAAGCTCCGCTGGGGTTTGTGGCTTGTATCCCTTCACAATCTTCTCAATTTGTTCTTGCAAATCAACATCTTTTACCTTTTTCGATCCTTTTCCCCTGTAGCCCCCTTCGTCCTGATTTTTCATCACTTCCACACGGTTACTGGATGGCGCGCTACTAGAGTTACCTTCCTTATCTTCCTCTTCTGCACGTTGTCTCTTGGTGCCTGTTACATCTTCTACAGCATTTCTCGCTTCAGCCTTCTTCAATGCTCATTTGCTGTCTTTTTTGTTTCACGCAATTCCCTCGTTAACCTTCTAAATTGTTCCATGGCAAGACTGGGTTCACTATTTTAGGATTGAGACCTAGCATGTACCGATCGAGTCCCTGCGTCTTCAGAAGGATTTGGAACTTCTTGTGTGGATCCAGTCATGTTTGTAGTTTGATTTTGTTTTGTATTTCCACAGACGGCTCCAACTGTTGGAGTAAGATTTCCTACAAGAAGAAATACCTCCACAGATTTGTTGACCGCAATCCTCACGTTCGTTGAATCCTTTTTCGAGATGTCCCAAAATAATCTTCCTCTGCAGCTCAAGTCAGTCGATTGGTTTCTATTCTTTAGATTCTCTCGGGTTCTCTTCACGTACCTTGTTCTTTGGCTCCACTCCATATTTATAGGATTGCATGCCTGGAGAACAAGTACCACGATCTCTCTTCCTTTCCCACTTCCTTAGTGGTCCTCCGTAATATGACTGCATGCTTCGGGAACAAGTACCACTTCATATTTTCCTTTCCCACTTCCTCAATGATCATCCGTAATATGACTGCATGCTTCAGGAACAAGCACCACGTCATATTTTCCTTTCCTACTTCCTCAGTGATCCTCCGTAGTGGAGGTGGTTACCTGGACACGTGCGCCTGCCTGTTTCTCGTGGGCTCTCCTTACGGTTTACCTTGCATAACACCATCCCTGGGTGACTTGGATTAGCCCATGAGTCGAAACCGGATTTTATCTTCCCACAGTTCCTATGGTAATTAGCGAAAATTCAATATGCAATTCAGCAAAACCCCACAAAATTTATCACTCAATTGTTCAGTTGCACTACCAAAACAAGCAAACCCAATTTCAATGTTCACTCAATTGTTCAGTTGACCCATGTTTTGATTGAAAAGGACAACGGAAGGCAGCTGATGCGTTTGAAGCATTTCGTCGAATTCGCTGAAGGCATCCACAAGGTTTGTGACTTTCACAAGCTGATGCAATTGGGTGTTTGTAGAACTGGAGGATGTCGTATGTACTAAAAATACAAAAACTCCATTGTGCTGGGAAGCAATAATGAAAGAAACATCCATTCATATAAGCTTTCTAGACCAGACATCATCTCGGCCGACATTGCTTGCTTTATTTCATCCCCTGCAAAGCAGTTGTTAACTTGTTATTGAGAAAATAAGCTACTTATACTTGAAGGAAGTGCTCGTTTTCGCCATTTTGACGAATATCATAATCCATGGCTGGCGAATGCTGCGAGTATCCAAAACTCAAATCGATCCGCAAGTTCTCCATTTTCATCCGCAAACGATATGATCTTCCATATCATGGACGTCGTCATCATATATCACACTAAAATCTTTATAATTTTCTGAGTTCCTATTTCCACGAGAACTTAGAAATGGGTACTCCTGCAAAATATCATATTGACATCAACGGTACACATGTTACGTGTCTCCTGAGCCCAATGCTATTCATGTTTCACTTCGTGCAAAGGGATCATAACATACTTTTTAACAATATTATTAAAATCACACAAAACATGTACCTTCACATCAGCGTCCAAGACAATACATCGTCTACTGGCAACATTGTTTGCTGAATTTCATCCCCTGCAAAACAGTTGGTATCGAGAAAACTAGCAACACCCTTAAATTCTTCCATCAAGATGAGAAATTAATTATTCAGAACATGTTTGAATGTAAAAACCAGTCTTATTCTCGCTATGCACCTAAGGGCAAGCCCTTGGCACAACGGAAAGGGTTGCTCTTTTGTGACCGAAAAGGTTACGAGCATGAGTCGTGTAAACAACCTATCTTTGCAAAACAAAAATTTGCGTACAATAGACATTTTCACCCCTGGGCAAAGCAGGGAGCCTTATTAGCTTGAGGTCACCCTTTAATTCTTGATATGCACCTCCACTAACATGAGTGTAATAAAAAAAAATTAAAAAAAAAGCAGGGGGTCTGTAATTTTCTTAAGCTACAATGTATGCATAGTATTATAATGCATTTCTGGGATTGAAAGGTGCAACACTTTCAAATTAACAATAATCATTACAAGGATCCGTTTTAACTTTGCAAGATAGAAATTAACTTCATTACGATCTTTCTATCAATGGCAACAAAGCAGGATCTACTTTATCTTTAGACAACAAATCAATTATCAATTCCGTAGTTGACGCATCTGCAGAAAAACCCTTCCCCACCATTTGTTGAATAAGTCCCATCGCTTCTGATGGCTCATTGTTATTGAAAAGGCCTCGAATGATTATGTTATAGGTACCAACCATTTGGAGAACAACCTTTCTCTTTCATTTCGTTAAGTAATTTTACCGCTTCGTTTGTTAGCCCTCCGTTGCACAATCCACCAATCATTATGTTATACGTCCTAGTATTAGGTTGAACACCTCTTGAAGATAAATTTCGAAAGAGATCCCTTGCAGAGTCAACTTTCCCACCAATGCACAATCCTTCAATAAGAATAGCGTAAATCACAATATCTGGCTCTAACTTCTTACCTTCCATATCTCTTAACAATTGTATTGCCTCGGGAAATTGTTTGTTTTTACACAGGCCATCCAATAAAACAGCATAGGTTTGAACATTTGGAAGCTGCCCACTAGCTTGCATCTGAGAGAACAACTCTTGTGCATCTTGTACTCTCCCTACTTTGCAAAAACCGTCCATGAGAATGGTATAAGTAATGACATTCAGAGCGACTCTGCAACTAGATATTTCCTCAAAAAGCAACACCGCCTCATCTATCCTTCTGTGCTTACAATATCCGTTTATCAGTATGTTGTAACTATAAGCATTAACTGTGTAGCCCTTTCTGAGCATTAGTTCGAAAACCTTTTTCGCCTCACGCATTTCTCCTCGCAAGCAATAACCATCCATAAGAGAATTATAAGTAACAGCGTCAGGCTCAATATCTCTTTGCGTCATCATTTCGACCATGCTTTTTGCTTTCCCGACCAAGCCCTCCTTACAAAGGGTGTCTACCAAGACAGTGAAGGTTCGCAGATTTGGAAAAATACCTTTGCTCACCATTTCATTAAACAATCTCGTAGCTTCTTTCCACTCCCCTAATTTGCATACTCCATGAATCAAAGAATTATAGGTAATTATGTCGGGGTCAATACATTTACTCATCATTTCAGAGAAAAGGTTCATCGCATCAACCACCATAGTATCCTTACAAAGACTGTCGATGATCGTGCTGTAAATGACAATGTTAGGCTTGCAACCTGCCTTTCTTCCATCTTCCTTAAGTAGTTGTAATAGCTTCAGTGTTGTTACCTTTCAGGCAAAGGCCCTTTATTAGTGTGCCGAAAGTAACCACATTGGGCTTACAAGTTACCACTCTCCATCATTTTATTCAGAATCCCAACAGCATCGGCCTCTCTATTCTGAAGAAGGAATCCGTTGATTAGAGTGGTGAAGGTCGCAACATTCGGTTCAAAACCAAGTTTGAGAATTTTCCCAAGAAAGATAAACCAAATTCCATTTGGTTCAACTGAGAAAAGCAATTAATGATAATGTTTAGAGTGTAAGCATCAGGACGAATTCCCAACAGGCTCCATTTGGTCATTCAGCGAGATGACTGCCGAATAATGTTTCAACTTGGCGACTTGAGTCAAGACTTGATTGAATCGGACCGACGGAAGGCAGAGGACGCATTTGAAGCATTTCGTCGAACACAAGGAGTGCATCGTCAAGATTAGTTACTTTAATAAGCTGGCGCAATTGGGTGTTGGTAGATTTGGTTGGATAAGAAGGTCGACAGTGAAACGGAGCCAAGTAAACGTTGAAGAATAGAAAAAGAGAAGATTTATGAACAAAACAAGGCACAGGCGACATACCTCTCAGTCTGCTGGCGATGCCACAACCAACATTCAATGAAGAAGAAATTGTCGTCGCCCGCATCATCTTCAACATCTGCCGGTTAATCAGTAGGAATATGACGAGTTGGTTGTTCGTATCGGACCCTTTTTCCCGATGAGGTTTGCGGGTTGGTTTGGGCAAATTTTCATAAATAAATGATGGTATGCATTTTCAACGAAAACAATTTTTGGATTCTTTTTGACAATTTAGTCAAATCAACAACCAGACTTTAGGGTCCGCTTGGTAGGTTGACCGAAATTGGCCGTTACAAAATCGATTGAATCGGCAAAGGTAAGATAAAATTTGTAACTCATGTACAAAGAATAAGTTAAATAATCTATTTTATTGTGGATTTTTAACCTATTATGTTCGGTTATGTTTATCTAACAATTTTACACAACAAACCATGTAGTAAACTTAAATCCATTTTAATTAGTCACAATCTATCCCAATCAACCAATAAACAAGTTTTATTGCTAATGTGTGACCATTTCTTAACTTTCCTTAAAAGTCATGTTTTTAGGGAAATATAGGATCAATATGGAAAGAATCATTTCCGAATCTCTTCCACCAAATCATTCCCATCAAACAATTTGGACCTTTGAATTTTGATTTAACGACTGAAATTATTATAATTTTTAAAGTAGACTCTTGTTTTTAGTTGTTGGATTAAATTTCAAGAACTCAGATTATTTGATATGAAAGATTTGGTGGAAGGGATCCGAAGAGATTCCCTTTCCAATCAATATATCGTTAAGATTTTCCTAACAAAATGTAATGCTTCAATTTGTGATTGAGATGCATGTCACTTGGTCAATACCTACTCTATATGCAGTTAATATACAGTCATTAAAGGACCGACGAATGCAAGTCTAAAACTTCAAAGTAGTTAGAGGAGTCTCTGTTAAGCCCATCTAATATTGTAAGGTCAACAACTTGAGAGGCTTGAGCCGTAATAAGCATGGACTCGAGTATTTATCATTAATAGTCAAAATTTAATATTTAATTTCATAAATGTCATTTTTTTAATAAAAAAAAAGAATTCAAATATAGGAGAAAACTCATGTAAATAGATTTAAATACCCTCAAAATTCAAAACCCATTTACACATAAAAGGGGAGGTAAATGGAATTCTGATGGGAGTTGTAAG